TCTTGAGACTTTTATCTCCGTTGATGCTTCGTACCTTTATGTATTCTATCCAGTGCTGCAGGAGGACCTGAACGCCACCTCGCACTCGACTGAAGAGTTGATAGAGAAGAGACAGATCCTGAATTCTGTTCTCATCCAGCAGGTGAGTCAGACCTGAAAGTTTCCAACAAGAAAGATCAGGAATCAAGCTGCTTTTAAACTTTCAAGAGCCAGGCTGTGGTTTAAAAACATGTTTTTGCTTAGGAAGGTTCCTAAGGGTCGACATGAGCGCAAGGTATTTTTATACAATCATGCTAACTGGGATTAAAGTCCACTCATAAATATGAGTTGTGTACCTTTTTGCAGAGTAGTCGTGAGATGTTCACCCAGCAACTGCTTCTCCACAGTAGCAATGAGCGGTTTTCTGAACAGGGAAAACAAATAACTCATGTTACAAATGAATCTTTGTGTTTGTGAAACTGCACATTGAATACTACAGTGTAGGACTCACTGTGTGCTCTGATCTAAATACGTGATGACTCTGTCAGCCTCCTCCTCCAGGCGCTTGCTGACATGATGGAGATAGTCTGGGACCTACAAAAAGAGAGCGGAAAGGAGCCATATTTGAATACATCAATCCATATGATTTGTTTAATAAAGAAAGTCAGACCAGTTTGAATAAAGTTATGTTGAGTCAAAAATCCTAAATCATAACTCTCACGCAACCAATCATTTCATGTGTTTCAGTTTTTAATGTCATTTAAATATGTAAATACTGACATAATGAACTATATGTGACGGCTAAATCTTGATTGTGCATATATATCACACACAGTATAAGTATTGAGAACATTTATATATAAATATCTATTTTACTCTTCTTACTTTCTGTCTGAATCAAGCTAAATCTTTTTTCAGCTGAGATGAAGGAAACCCTTCATCAGTCTTGTACTGCATTCAGATCTCCTGTAGCTATGGATGTGTTAGTGTTCTTGTGTGATGAAGTCCTTTCAGTTTCATTCTGAGTAACTAAAATAAAGGTCATGTTCTAGATGCAAACATATCATAATACTGGACATAAATTGTGTGACATTGTGTCCAGTCTTGTAAAAAGAAACCATGGAAACGAACAATATAAACGGGCCCAGAGTACGGGCGTCACATAAATCACCTCTCTCTCCTGCATCAGCCTCTGTCCCTCTGCAGCGTACAGGCGATTAGTTTCCTCCAAAAAGCGTTGCTCAAAGGAGTCTTGATAAATCTGTCAGGGATGGAGAGAACACAGGTTTAATTAAAGCCATTTGTCAACAAGAGACTGACAACTCATCACACCCTGGTGCAGGTGATAATCACAAATACCACAGCTGCTAAAGCATCACTTTTCTTTTAGTACAGGAAGTGTTTGGATCATTAATATAAAAAGTAATAGTCTGTTACCTGCAGGTCAGAGAGCATGCTCAGCAGGCTCCTCAGTAAAGTGCGGTCTATCGCTTCTCCGTTTCGCTCCATCTCTATGAGCAGCAGTATCCCGTCGATGGTTTTACACTGGACCTTCAGATCGCTGATGATGTAGAACCTGAACAGCTCCAGACCCATGTCCCTGCACACCACAGAAGTTGTTCAAAATTTTATTTTTAAACATATGAATCTGCTACATGCTAATGTACAACAGCAGACTTCAGGGATCACTCACCAGATAGATGGCAGCATTGAGTTTTGTAAAACATAGGTACGGTCCAAAAACAAAAATATACTCCTAATCATGATCTGTGAAACAAAGACAGACATAAAAAGTTAGGAATAAGCAGTGTTCACATTGTTATTCTTTTTCAAACATGTAACCCTAACCCTGTTTGATAAAAACAGTTGTAAGATGGCTTCTGTGAGTTAACTGTCTAATTTTGAGAAAATAACCATGATCTTAAATTGGGTTTGAGACTTTACAATACATTTAATATTTATGTTTTAAGTCCCCCAACTTCATGGAAGTTCAATATTCAAATCAGTATAAGACCATTTAAACAGGAACATTTGACAAACAAATCGCAAGGAAAGCAGACCTTACATAAACAGACTTTCAAGGGATATGAAAGCCACCACTTCACTTATAAAAGTTATGAAACATACCATTTGTCTGCAGTGATCTTGCCAGCATTTGTCAATTTTCTTTAGGAAAAGCACACTGTCCAAGGCATCCGTATGAACAACGTTAAGGAAAAGATATTTTCTGCAATATGACTGCATGATCATCACTACGCAATGCAATACTACGATAGATCCACAGACATAAATATGAAGATGAATAAAATAGTGAAGGATATTCTCTGAATTGCTCAATTTGTGACTTGATGTGGTCTTCACACACGGCCCTCAGCTGTTTGTAAAGCTTGGCAGATATCTTATGGGAGCACAGGTTCTCAACTGCCTGAGGGGACAGAAAGAAAAGTGTCAAAAAGGAAAGTTTAGTTATAAATGTGTTTCCTCTGGGGGGTGAACAGGTCAGTAGTGATACCTGATAGAGCTCTTCTAGGTTGTACTTGATTGAAGTGCTGTTCTGTATGGCCTCCACCGCCTCCTTCAGCTTCTGCCAGGTCTCCTGCGTGTAGTTCTCAGGCAATTTGGGTTTTTCTGTGTGCAAAAAACCCCACAAAACAGTTCTTATAACAATAAATCAGTGGACCTCATTGAACCATAATGCCACTAAGCCAGTGCTATTATAAAAACTATTATAGCAAGATGGTCCTGACTATAAAATAAATAAACATGGTTATTGAATGTTGTTATTAGACATGCTATAGCCTCAGATTTGCACTGGTTTGTTTTTGGATGTGTATATTTATTTACTTTTCATCCCTTTATTGTAAATCACTTTGTACTGCACCCACTGTATGAAAGGTGCTGTATAATAAAGTTATATTATTATAACTATTAATAATGAGAATGAGTCATCTCATTAAATTCATCTATAAAAAAACGTAGGTTAAAGTTCCCAATCCTACTCTATAGGAGTATTACTGTTACTTCAGGAGAGCAATAACAACTTCATTTTAGATATTTTATATGTAAACATTAAGCTTGGCCGTTAGAAACTATATTTATTAGTTTTACTTTAGTCTTTATAGTCTTATTAGGATGTCCTATTATGATTGTTAGAACCTATTTGATGATAAATGAGTGCCTCTAATACATTATTTTTCTAACATATCAAAAATATGTATGCCTACATTTCTGTTTACTGAGCCTAGAGTCATTCCCATATTGACACAATTAAGGAAATGTATATTTCCTGACAGATTTGACCATATAGGAGAGCAATTATTCAGCTAGGTTTCTATTATTGTTAAATGTACATTGAATTACAGCCTTCAGGTCCTTTTACAGCCAATCTCACATCACAATAACAGATTAAATGTTCCACTGTGGACTTGATAAAAGTTTATATTGCTGATGTTTTGGAGCTTATTGCACAGTATCTCACTGTTTTGTGTGTGCTACCTTTGAAGTTCTTGATGACTAGTTTCTTAGCCGCCCCGGGTTTACTGTTGGAGAAGGTCCCGGAGGAGCCTGCGGGCTTCGTCAGTCCGTTCGCATGGTGTCCCGTCCCGACACCGGGCAGGAACACGGCTTTGCTTTTGTTATTGGAGCAAGAAGCAGCAACGACGGCCGCCGCAGCAGCCTCCTCAGCCATTTTCACATCCAGTCCAATGATATCCACTGAATCCTCAAACCTCAACTTCTTCTGGATGTGCAGCGGGGAGCAGGAGGAGGAGGAAGAAGAGGAGGAGGAATTCAGTGACTTGTCAGCAGTGTCTTCCCTCTCAGAGCCGTTTATTTTCCTCTTCTTCGGAGATGTGATGTTACCGCTGTCGGGTTTGACATCAGTAGCCACTGGTCTAGCCTCCTGGGTTGGCGGTGGTGGGGGATTAGGGGAAGATAAACCTGTTGGAAACATGAAAAAACGGGGATACTAATTCTTTAACAGATTGTCTTTTTCTGGTGATCCAAAACGTCCAGGCTCGCCGGGAGATGAGCTCAGTGTCCGATAGCTTGTGTGTGTCTCAACGCGGACGGAGGGTCCTTTTTACCAGTATAAAACTGATAATAAACAGTAAACTACTCAGCTTCACTTGGATCTAGCCTTGTCTCTTTCTTGTTATTACTGGCAGGAGAAGAAAGATGGTCGGCTATTGCTTCCTCTTTTCGCCTCTCGTGTCTCACCGCGTTGCACAGTCGTTAAGTATGAGCGGTTAGTAACTGAAGCAGCCGTCAGATACTTATTCACAGAATAAATGTAACTACAGCAGAGAAATAATCTCATGTGATACTAAAACACCCGTCGGAAAACAGGGAGGAAATTTCGCTCAAAAAAGCTAGTCGGTGACCCACCGGAAGTACTTTGTACAAAAAGTACTTTTTGCACAAGCGTGTTTTTTTCGTGCAGAAAACAGTGCTGTTATCTGCTCTGGCCACAAGATGGCGCCATGTCACTGATCGCCATGGACTGATGTCACGTTTACCATCATGAATTAAGCAAATATGAATGAATAAAGAAATATATTTAAAGGGAAATGTACTGTCTAATTTATCTATATATATATCATTATACAGTATGTATACATTATTATATTTTTTCATCATAAGACTAATTGTACTCTTGTTTATTGCGCTCACTTGTTTACATTAATTTAGACCACATAAAGTATTACCTTGCTATTATTTCACAACATTTGTGTTACCATTACTTAGAATTAAAAAAAGTTTAAAAAGCATATCAAAACCTAAATAGTTCGATGCACATACATTTAAAGGTTGGTTTTATGTGTTTGTCAGACAGAAAGTTAATTCAAAGTACGTTGTACAAGCATTACAACAAAGTTAACAAAATGGAAAAGAAGACAATTCCCAAAATAGATAGAAGGTGGTTAAATCCTACATTGGAACTACAGTTGTTGATTTCAATAAAGGTTCTATAAAAAAATGGTTACTTGGGTGACAGAAGACATGCCGTGTAACGTAAACAACTGTCGTAAAATGAAGCAAACCCTTACAACTCTGGCCCTCCACTGCTAAACAGGCGTGGAAGTAGAGAAGCATTTCTTGATATATGAACTGTCTTCTATTATCTTATTGTGTTTATCATACACATATCTGCGCAGTAAGTCCGGACAAGCTTTGTGGAAATTGAGGAACGCGGTAACCGTTACAGCGACCAACGAGGATGTTTAAAAAGTACGTATGTGATGATTTCTGTGTTGTAACGTTAGCTAACCACAGCTAGGTGGCTAACGCTAACTGATTAGCAAGTTAGTTTTGTTGTATGCTCAAGTTCAATTAATGAGACAAACAGACATATTTTATAATATCGGTAAGGTCCTGTGCTATTGCAGTAGACCGGGCCTGGAAAACATATCTGTTCAAATGTATCATTCATATGTGATCTAGATATTATTCATTCATATGTCTTAACTAAGCAATACGGCCCTGTATTTTAGTAATCACAATGATGAAATTCACCTTTCTTCTAATTAGGTAAAGCTATCTATTTGTTCAGATTGAGTTGTAATGAGAGTGAGAATTACACTATTATTCATTTATTTGTCTGGATGAGATTTAAGAAGAAAGCCCACTTGCTTATGTATGTATTTATGTATCTACTTTTTAGAAAAAACAAGTTAGAGCATTCTGTTGTATCTCTTAAAACTATAATTGAATCCCCTTTCCAAATATCTGTAATCGGTGGGTGTCATTGCTTTTGGCTCTTGGTTTTTTAATCAAATATCATAATTAAACCAACACAATGGTTACTGCCAATATTGGCCACAATGTGGAATCAGTGAGCTCATGTTGTGTATGTTTGTCACATGTTTAGGCTTACAGTATATGAGTTATTTCACTTGAAAAATAATTACAGCTCTGTTGTCAAAAAGATTCCTCCATGTGATGAACATGTGACGAGCAGTTGCCTTTGTTTTGTTTTTAATGGCTGTATTTGTATCTATACTAAAAGCACTTTCTGTTTACTGTTTCAGATTTGATGATAAGGAAAATGTGTCGAACTGTATCCAGCTGAAAACATCAGTGATCAAGGGCATCAAAAATCAGCTATTGGAACAGTTTCCAGACATCGAGACATGGCTCAATCACATAATGCCAAAAAAAGACCCTGTCAAAATCGTGAGATGGTATGATTCAGTTATTTTCTTCATCAGTTTTCTTAAATGCAGTGTGTTTTTAGTGGATTGCCTTTTACATTTTTAATATTTCTATTGTTATCCCCACAGCCATGAACACATTGAAATCCTGACAGTGAATGGAGAACTGCTCTTCTTCAGACAGAGAGAAGGACCATTCTACCCGACCCTCAGACTGTTGCATAAATGTAAGATCCTAAAATGCCAACTAGTATATGGTTGTTTATAATATTAAATGCAAATAAGTGGACTAAGAAATCTTACTGAGAAGAGGCAGGCATCAACAAAAAAGGAGCTCCATGCACACAATTAACAAAAAATAAAAAAGGTTATATCTGCCCTTCAGAAGGCAGTGATTATAAGGATCTTTCATTTCTGTAATGCAGTGTGCCTTTGTATGTTTTGGTTATGACTTATTAATCACAAAGCTAAGTAAAAGTCTTCCTTCTCTTTTTTCCAAGATCCTTTCATTCTTCCCCACCAGCAAGTAGACAAAGGAGCCATTAAATTTGTCTTAAGTGGAGCCAACATCATGTGCCCCGGGCTGACGTCGCCAGGCGCTAAACTCTACCCAGCTGCAGCTGACACAGCAGTTGTATCCTTTTAAATATGATGCTGCATACTTCACAAAAATATATTTGTGAAGTGTTCTTGTGCTATCAGGGGGTGTTTCTCAATCGCGAGTAAAGCTGCTGCAGAGCCACTATTTCAAGCATACTACGTCATCGAGTGCCGCCGAAGTACTGTTCCAATCTCCAGCATACTTGGAAATCTACCGAGCCCGGCGTACTCCGTTTGGAGAAATATCGAGGCTGCACATGAGTAGACTCCGCGGTCTTAAAATCCCCACAATGCTTTGCGCACGGACCAATTTCCCCAAATCTGTGGCGGAAGATGTAAGGCGGAAGATGTAAGGCGGAAGATGTAAGGCGGGGCCTCATATGACGCACACCTGCACACTTGCTAGCGTGTTCCACACTTCGTTTTCCGAATGGCAGGAAGTATTCTTGACTCGCTTCTGAAGCAAGATGCTCGGCAGACATGTGCTACCAAGCAAGCGTACTCGCGATTGAGAAACACCCAGGGTGTGCGCGGGGTCTTAAAAAGTATTAAAAGTTGATAAATCAATTTAGCGAAAATTAAGGCTATTAAAAAGTATTAAACAGCATTTTCCAAGGTATTACATTTTGTAGCTTATTTTCAATAAGTATATAAATTGTCCAAAGAGGTTGTATTCTAAAGTTTGCCTGAATGTAATCATTGCGTAGGTGTGTAGTGTGATTCTGTGTAGTTTATTTATGGCATCCCGTTGGATTTGACGTCATCTGAACGGAGGCCTGTACTACGAAGCCGGATTTTCGCTTAGCGAGCTAACTTCAGGGAACACTCTGGGTTTCCGGTCCTACGATGCTGGTTCACTTCTTAGCGGGCTAGATCTCCATGGTAACTTATGCTGAACGGCTAGCCTGGTCCGGAGCAGGTTAGGTTGCAGGATAAGAGATCAACTCAGTGAAAGCACCACCTGCTGACCAATCAGAGCTCAGTGTGCGGAGTTTAAAGCGATCAAGTCATATTACAGGAGAAAGGAAATACAGTTTAAATTGCCGTTGCAGGAAAGACGGCCGGCAAAAATCACCGACTGTGTGAACGTGAAAATGAATAGAATATCCCCTCCCATCTTCAGAGCAATCTGACTATTATAACATTAGCGTTAAGAAAGCTTACTTAAATATCTGCCACAACATAAGTAACCGGATCAAAGTAACATTACGTACAGTCCGCGGCACTGTGAGTGCAGACGTCGATGTGTCCCATTATCATTCATATCATATCACATCATAATGTATCATATATTTCCTTATTTGAGTCAGCTTCTTGAGCCGTATCTGGCCGTGCAACACTCACAGTGTCACATACTGTATGCAGAAGTATTATTTTAAGCAACACATAAAGTTGACGAAACACTCGAGTCAAATGTAATTAAAGTCAGATCCACTCGTGTCTTAGACGGGGGGCAGTGATATCATAAAACTGTTAATGTATGCATTCAAACACTTTTTCTTTTACCAGCTGTATTCAGCTTGCAGGTGCAGCTATGTGGCTTTTATCCTGGATAAAGTGTTTAAGTCATGGATGTTTAAAGTTTAACGTCTTCATATTTGTCTAATATTATAGTTCACTTTTCATTCAGGAAGTATGACGCGCTGCGCTGTCAGTACGCTTGTCCATGTTTGTGATTGGTCGAATGTTCCAAATACCACCCTTTTTATGTGAACGTGCACCTAACTAGATAGGACACGGCTGGCTTGAGTTAACGAGTTGATAACCAGCGTCGTAGGACAGTTTAGCGAGAGCGCGTTTGTTTTGGATTAGGTAAACCGGGTAACTCAAACATATCCAGGTTAGGTTGAACCGGCTTCGTAGTACAGGCCTCAGGACATCGCACGCTCACTGCTTGATAGCGCGCGAAGGTCCGTTTACGCCGGTTGTTAAACAACATCGTTATGGGGAAATGCAAGTTTGCGTCCAAATGGTTGGAAGATAGGACAATCAATACTGTGTATATATAGTAAATGTGAGGTAAAGTGTGTTGCCAATGAGGTCTTAAAATGTATGGAAAGGGTCTTAAAAAATACCCTGGCTATAGAGCTAATTATTACTTCCAAATCTACAACAAAAATCATTGTACAAATGTTTCTTTAACAACTGGATGCAGGCCATAATGGCGGAGGGAAAACAATTTGCACTTTGTGTTGGCATTATGAAGATGTCAGCAGACAGCATGTAAGCCTTTCTTTCACGTTTAAAAAAAAAAAGCATTAAAACATCCTTTCTGCTTCTGCTCTTTTGATGAATAATAATCTTTTTTTTTTCAAACAGAGAGAAAGTCAACAAGGGAATTGGTATTGAGAACGTTCATTATCTGAATGATGGATTGTGGCACATGAAGACGTATAAATGATGACATCACCACCTGCAACGCCTGCCCCCACACCCCTCCCCCACAGAAAGTGCGGTGCTCGCATGGGCTCCACGTCACCTGTTTACACCTAAGGACTTAGCTGTGTAACCTGCTGAAGGCTTTGAATTATTTGCCATTATGCACAAATAAATGAAAGATCTTGCTTTAAACCTCAATCTCAGTTATTATGCATTGTTTCCAGTTTTAGGTGTGAACGTAGCCTCGCCCAGTCATCAACTGGTAAACATGAGAAGATCGTTTTACTTTTGACTTCAGGTTAAACTTCCAGGATATTATATTAAGTTGATGTTACTGTGCTATACACAACTAAACTGTTTTGTGACAGCAATCTACAGGAGGATAACCATTACAATGTCAAGCACTTTTCAATGTCAAGCTCAGAGTTTCCAGCCCCTTTAGAGACTGTGTTTACTTGCTATTCACGTAGTTTGTAGTTGGAGTAATGACGTGGCCTTTACTCACTAGCCAGGATCTGAGGATATTTGCATATGAAGGAGTGGAAGCGTGATACAGGTGTGCAGATGTTAGACTGGTTATGCTGCTTCTATTTGCTCCAGTAATGCTTTACAGTCAATTTCAGGTGATATTCTAAAGTCTAAGATAAATAATTCTCATACAATAGCTAAAAAAATCTACCACCATTAAGGCAACGCTTAGTTTTTCAGTTAACAACTGCAATATTTTATTCTCTTATTGCCTAGTTGCAGAAAAATATGTACATTTTGTTTCAAGATTACAAGAACATATTGGTCAAGGCAAAACCTAAATGTTAACAAAGCTAATGGTACATTTATTTCCCTTTAACAAAAATCCTTCACAGTATGTTTACCAGGTTTGCAGCCCAACATGTAATCAGTAATTCATTTGATTTATTATCATCATCCAAAAGTCACATTTCTTAAAAGTACTTCTGATAATCACATTTTTTTTTTTTAAATTAAAGTGGAACAATGACAGCTCCACTGAAAAAGTAAAGTAGTTCAGTAACACAGGACAATAGAAATATACTGAATATTAGGGCTGCACGATATATTGTTTCAGCCATTGCAACACAGGATGTGATCATGTAAGACAAATGAACTCAAACAAGTCATGCTCAAACTTCTTTGCTGCTTGAAACAAAAGAAAAAAATCACCTTTTAATTTAACATGACTATTCTCAAAGGAAGATCTAATAGAACATAAATTACTCCAACTTTCAAATTTTTCATACAAGAATTTGTTCATAGTTCAGTGAGAGATAAGCAGGTTCTTCATGCACAGCAAACAACCAATCACAATCATTTTCATCAATTATTCAATCAAAACCAAAGCAGGGTCCCGAAAATGGGCGAGGAACACGAGAAAAAAAATCGCCAAAAAAGTTAGCTCAGTTCAGTAGAAATCTTTCGGCTACAGAATCTACCTGTATGTATACTTCAACATCGTGCAGCCCTAGTGAATATACTTTCCCCAGATGTCAACACTGAGGTACATCATTCCAACTTCCAGATAATCTAGTCTCATGGTACAAGTTTGTTAAATATCCCTGCTCGATCTTCATTTAAAAGAACCGCACACTCATCACCTCAGTTCAACAACACCACAAACACATTTCAGGTGCTGATTGTGCCAACTGCAAAAGGTACAAATATACATAAAAGAGTTATTCCCACCCATGATCCATTTTACAAACATAATTAGAAAAACATCTCAACAGTTAAGTTTGCCATCATAGAAGCAAAACACATTTCAAATGCCACGTACATATTAAAAGGAAAGAGTCTCTAGTCGTTGTCTGAACCTTCAGGAGGTTGAAATACTAACAAGTCATGGAAGTCGTGGCCGTAAGGACGTAGTCTGTAAACTCCAAACATCATAACCTGCATTTGATTGGGCGACATCCCGTTAAACGTGACTGCCAGGTCGGAGCAGCAGCCCTCCACCACATTAGTGGGGTTGTCCCTCATGCTGTCCGTTATTAAGCTGTCCACACTCTTGCTGTTAAAGAGGCCCTTTCCGTGAGAGTCTTCTCCGTTCTCTGCGAACACACCGGTGTATTTGAGACACACTGCCAGCTGCTTGTCCTCACTCATCGTCCACAGGGCGTGTCCTCTTTCTGGACATTTTTCTTCATCCTCTAACACATTCACTAGCCTTTTCAGCGCTTCATAACTCAGAACGATGCCACTTTCATACGCCACATACTCCAGCTCCCCGGACTTCATAGCGTTGCCCAGATAGAAGGGCTCCTCGGGGTCTTTTGTGAGCACCAGGTGTTTGAGGTTCTCAATGATGGCAAACGTGGTCGCTTTTGCCACAAAGAACCAGCGCAGATCTCCGGCGTTCTCATAGGCATGCTTCAAAGCTTTACGTAGCCTCGCCCAGTCATCTTTTTCATTTAAGTCTACCGCCTCCAAAGCCTTGGAGGACTCAGAGGTGTAGAACACAGCCTTGTCACAGTGTTTACTCCAGGTGTCCAGCGCAGTCGCCCAGTAAACCAGGATCTTTGGCTGGACCATGATGATGCAAGAGACCCGGACTTGATTCACCAACTCCAGCACGTGACTGTCCGAGAGGCGAGTCAGCTCGTCTTTACTCGGGGCCTTGACGTGATGATGATGATGTTCGCCCGGCCCGTGCTCTGTGGCGGGGCTGAAAGTACCAAATAGTGAGAGTCCCAAGCAGAAGATGGCACCCATGGCCATCCCCTTCATGAAAGAGCCTCCTTCAGACAACATGTTGACAGCAGACACTGGAAGGGAGATAAATAGCCAAACATTAGCTGAAAGGGAATGCTTCTCAGAATAATCTTAAAATATAGTTTGATTAATCTGAATTAATCTTTAATTTTCTCACATTAATGTTGCTCTAATGGTCTCATATTGGGCGTAAATCATTCACAGACTCTGAACTGTACAAAATGTGCGAGCTTGCATACATAGAAAAGCAAACAAATACATTATGACTGTCTTTACACCAGCTAGACGTTTGTTACAGAAATGATTGTAAGATTTGACTTATAAAGCCTTTCATAGAGCTTTTGCTGTAAGGGTTTCTTAATTATAAAATGAGATGCTTGATAAACTAAACCTATGTAAAGTATTTTATAACTTCATTTAATGTGGGTGAATTTCTCTAGCTGTGTGTATTTATACATATTCAACAGCTGTGTAACATGTATGTTCGTTTATGACTGGAAAGACTAAAACACTTCATTACACTAAACCTTGATGAGTGAAAGCAGAGACACAATGCTCCACAAAGGCCATCACTTATAACCAGTTGAGCAGCTGTGACACAACTCGGTATCTAAAACAAATGAGGAAGCTGCACTTACTAAGTTGAACTGTGATCTGCTGGCTTAGTTGTAAAAAATAGAACAATTGTATCTATGATCAATTGTTCATTAGGGAAAGGAAATGAAATTACTAAGTTTTGTCCACATACAAAACAAACATGACAGGTGACCTATCATCAAAGGTACACGTATGAGGAAATGATATGGGGTAAATTGTGAATACAGACAGAAAGAAGAATACAAATACGAAAGGAGCAAACAAATAGTATTATGAAAGCTATTTTAAAGACTATATATACACAAAATATAATTATGTGAGAAACTGTGTAGCTCGTGTGTAATGCGTGACAACTTTACTGCTGTGACAGTAGGTTTAGGAGTCCTATTTATTAATGTGCACTGTCCGATCTGACAGATAAACTAAACTATTTCTATACAACAAAGGAAATATAGTTGAGTATAAAAGTATAACTCGTTAATGAAATGGCGTAAGCCTGTTTTTCTTGTGAGACAAGTTGAGCAGCTGATCAGGTCTCAGATGGACTAGACATCCTTTTGGATTAGACATTACGGACATGTTATAACGTTTTATTAATGTCGACATTTTATCTATTACGTCTGAACAGCTAGCGTTAACATTAGTTCACTTCATAACATTGAATCCGAGAGTTTTTAAAGTCTTACCAGCTGATAGCTAACTGTTAGCTTCCTGTCTCCGTAGCGTTTACACTAAACGTCTTGTTAGCAACATACATAAAACAAGTAAAGGATATATACTGTACCTAGCAGGAGTAATACGACCTTGTGAGAAAGTGTCCTGCTTCCGTTCTCCTTTCAGCTGCCACTGCTCCTGTTCGTCGTCAGGAGAGTTAATTAACAGCAAGGTGCATGTTCCAAACTGACGGCAACTTCCGGGTCTGAAGTCACGTGACTCTGCTGAGGTCAAATTCCTTTGTTTATGTTGTTATGATATGCCAACAAATGAATGTTCTTTTATTTGTATTATGTTGTCATTGTTAACTGATTGCTGGGTTGATTATGATATATTTAGGGTAAAGCTGCTGAAAAGATCAACCATTCATATTTAATAGGGGAAAGAAATACAACTCTGTAACATGACCTAATTTTACGTGCATTTTTGTCGTTTTTTGCGCAAAAGTCCAGTTTTAATTTTGAAGATTTGATTTGAAGTTGTTATTTGTGCTGATGCATGTTACTACTGCTAATACTACTACAATACATAATACAATTATAATTAAACATGATATCAATTATAAAATAATAATTAATATATTATACTACTATTATATTATAACGTATTATGATCTAATATAGTGTCAGGTTGTTTCTAAAATTATTACAATGGAGCATAATTTGACCATTGTTATTATCTTTGAACATTTTTATATCACATTACATTTGATTTATTTTGTATATTTGTTACTGAATATCTTTATAAGATCAACATTTTTCCTTTAATTCAGTGTTGAACATAGGGTGACCAGGTGTCCCGCTTTGTGCCGCTTTTTATCATTTGTCCAGCGTCCCACACATTGAGACTATGTTTCTCAATCGCGTCTGCCGAGCATCTTGCTTCAGAAGCGAGGCAAGAATACTTCCTGGCATTCGGAAAACAAAGGTTGCGGTCGAATACTCTAAAAAAACAGCTCCTAAGTTCTAACCCTATCGTCTTTTCCTTGACCTCTGAGTGAAACGTCACGGGGTTAAGGGATAGTGGATAGGAGAATTCAAAAGGACTTAGGAGAAGAGACTGCGGTACTTTAGAGAATCCGACTGCACTTTCACTATCCGACGTGTTTATGATGCGCCAGCGGAGGTCATAAATGTGCACCTGCTGCTGTGGGGAAACTATGG